CTGTGGTGGGTGGCGGGTGAAGTACTCGGTAATGTTTTGATGACTGGGCGACCTTGTGCGCACCCTGCTCGCGCCGCTCTCCGCGTAAAAGGGTACACACACCACGGAAAGTGAGCATTCCGTGTTCGGCAGGGTACCGCGTAAACGTGGAAACGCGTAAAGTGGGACCGCGTAAAGCGAGGGTTGACTGTACTGTAATGAGTTGTATGGAGAAATGTGGGATATTATTTTTGTAGTGAATCAACAGTGTTATTGTGTACTAAACCAACATGAGATGGAATCCACAAGAAATCTGTCAATACAATTCTCACAGGTTAAACCCAAGATAAGTATTACTGTATATGTAGTCCTGAGGCACATACTAGGAATCACACATAACCACCCCAGATAGGTGAAAATATAAAAATACAGTATGATAAAAATTAGGCTTCATTACTCAAGAAATATTGTTTTGTGGCCGCCACAGGTTTCAATTGAGGATTTTGTCTACTGTCATAAAGAGCTACAGGTACTGTACAGTATGTCAGACCTATGGAAGGCTAGGTAAGGAAATGGGAGGAACTGGGAGCATTTGGTGTGCGGAGGAATCAGGCGACTTTGTGGTGAAAAAGATCATTGTTTGGGTGTGGTGTTCTACATTTCTGTCCAGCAACATCAAGCTCAAGTCAATTATTTTAAGATGTAACCAATAGGTACAAGGTAACACGTTGTTCACTGAGAGGGAGCACTTATTGCATCCTTTCAGGGAGTGTGTAGGACAGAAGGTACCCAAAAATCTCAATAAGAACATGGCATCACACACATATGAATAAATCAACAGTACAGTTCAGTGTTACATTCATTATCAATAAAATAGGTGAAGATAGACTAACAGCAACATTCAAACACTCTAAGTAAGTATCTGGCAAATAACTTGTCCATCATGCACCTCATAAATAAATTCTTGGGCAAACCTCAACTCAAACATTCCCATCACTGCCATTCTCCATGTTGTTCTCTAGCTGCAAGTATTTAAATCTTACACCAAACAACTCATTACTTATACAGACAGACACTACTTTGGTGGGTGATTCAGGCATATCCCAGCAATAGGAAATGACTTTGGAAGAGAATATAACAGGAGAGAAATAATGTAAACTAAAGAAAAGTGGTGAAAATAAGTACCATTGAGATATGGAAAGAATATTAATTTGTGGATGGTGACAGTGAAGATGATGATGTATCTCTGGTGTCTTAGAATGGTATGTGTCAATGAAAGGAACAATTAGTGAACTAAATATTGGAGTTCCTTAGCAAGGGAAAGTAACAGATGCAGAGAAAATTAATGTAACCTTGTAAACATTCTTTATACAGAGTACTGTACTGTACTCTATACCAAATCTTTACACAGTCACAAAAAGGTAAAGATAAGATGCCAAGAATGATAAATAACGAAAACAAATATTTTCATCAAGTATTAATGAATTTTATTAATTTTTTGCTTCTTGAAGATAATATTCTGCATAATGCTTTCATCTTTGAAGTAAACCTAAGCACTTCAGACTACCTACTGCATGACAATATTCTTTTCAGTGGGTGATCTCTTTCTATATACTGTACTATATCTAAAAATTATCTTGTACATTTTTAATTTTAAATTTCATCTCAACATGATATTTTCAAATTGTTTCCTGATCCTTGGGCAAACCTCCTGTTGTACCCTGAGACAATAAATTGACTACTGTACTAGCCGAAACATCCACCTCAATAGGGGTTGTCTCGGTTACCATGCTTGACACAATCAACAACTGTGTTATCACAGCCTCTATTTGTGTACAGTACAGTACTTGTAAAGAATGATATCAAGTGTTGCCTCTTGCCAGTTACCTTTATTATATATTATTTACATAAGCATATGAGTAATTCTTTTGGCCATTATAATAAACATTTTGCTGTTCTGTTTAGGGCAAGTAATATATACCTGTACCGGTATATAAAAAAAAAATCATTACAGACATTTACATTACAGTATTTGTATTTGATGAGAAATTGTTGCTTTAATTATGTTGTGGAACGGAAACACCTCTATTGCAACAGGTTGAGTGAGAAGAGAGAGCTTGCCTGTGTCCCTCTTGATAACACTTTTTAATGTAACAAAAAGTTTGGATAAAAAATTTACCTTATCACTAGCTTGTCTTAACAGTATCATACTGTACTCACTCTTTATCCAATTATATCATAGTTTAACTGATCTGCTTCTATATTTTCATTGTTTCCAACTGTACCTTAAAAATGGTCTCAAACTTATGAATAGGAAGAATTATAATGCTGAATATAAATGTTGTAAAGGTATACTATATTGTATACTGTACTTATAAATTTCTAGAGATCATGAAGTACCACCTGCTGCTGCTGCTTCTAATATATTAGCATTAACAGAAATTTATTAAGAATCTATTCACCTGTGATTAGCACCTCACTGTTGTACTCTATTCTGCCAATAATAGTCACATTGTGACAAGATTAACTACACTCTTCACACGAATGTTTGGACAATACACTTGACACAGTACCACAAGAATGTTATAGTGTGTATACAGTATGCATAGCAGGAAATCTATAAACAGCTCCCAATCTCATGCTACACAACTAACAATACTACCTATTCGCTCACAGCTAAATAAAACGGTCTGTCATAAAGTACTCTCACATGCTCTTGTTCAGTAATACAGTAAGGTAAAAATGGAACCAGTGAGCATTTATAAATTTCTAGTCTATAAAATCACCTAACTTGACCAAACCCTCGAAAGTAAAGAAGTAAACATGCTATATTTTTTACAAGAGGAAATACAGTCTAGGAGTAATGACCAGATTTTTTATTAACTATTGGTAAAACTTAGGTGGGAGTATTTTTATTAAATCCTGGAATATGAGGAATGAAGTACTGTATTGTAGTATTTAAATGAAGGAAAGGCAAGAGCACCGCAACACCAATTACAGTATGAGAAAAGCTTTATAATATAGTTCAGTATGGAAGTGTAAAGAACAGGTGGAAAGAGAAAATGAATGATTGTTATGAAAGGCTGGAAGTGAACCGCAAGAATGATAATATATAGATCAGTATATTAGCTAAGATATATGTTGGTCTTATTGAGAGGACTGTTGCAGAAACTGTGAATGAGGTGAAATGCAATGTGGACTCAAAGAAAGAAAAGAATTTTATGTTGCAAGAGCGATAACTTTATGGAATGATGAAAATAACGCAATACAAATTTAAATAAGTGTTGTGGGATAGATGGAAAATTTCTGAAAGCTGATTAGGGTTGTTATAAGTGAGGTGGGTGTTGTAGTGTATCAGAAAGAGAGAAATTGGTTCAATGACAGTATACAGTATATGAAAGGTAAAGCGATTGTAATGGAGAGAGGAGACACCTTAGAATGTGAGGTATGCAAGCTCCTGTTCGTAGATGACAATACTCCGGCGAACAGTGCAAAAGTTACAAATACTGGTGAACGATTGTGTATTAGGAAATTTTTTTTTAGAGAAAGTAAACACGGAAAAAAAATAAATAAGCAAAGGGAAGAAAATGTTAGTCTGGATACAAACTGGAGATTGTTTCATATATCTGGGAGTGCATGCTAGCACGAGACAATGAGTGACAGCACGGAGAAGTTGGGGGAAATAAAGTAATAAGCACACACAAATACAGTATACCCCCCTGTATAGAACAGTTACAGGTTGTACCTCTCTAGTCCGGCATTCTGTGGTCCAGAACGATTTTAGTTTGCCCAACAACCACTACGCGGTGTTGGCGTAGTTTGCCCAATAGCCGCTACGTGGCGTTGGCGGAGTGACGGTTGGAAATTAAAGTTTTTTTACATCCGGCAGTTCGGCTCTGTTTGTCAAAACAGAGTACATTTAACCCTTCAATATGTCTTCAAAGAGACCACGAAGCAGTGAAAGTGGTGCTTATGCTTCCAAGCGTAAGCACAAGTCACTATCTATCCAGGAAAAGGTTGAACTATTGCAGAAATTAGATAAAGGTGCATCGGTACAGAGCTTGTGTGAGAAGTATTACCGGTACTTATTCTTATTTATTTATTTCCTATCTTATGTTTTTATGCTTTAAGTAGGGTGTTTCGAGGGCGAATTTCCATGGTCCGGCACCGGTCAGGTCCGAGGTTGCCGGACTAGAGAGGTACAAAGATTATAAATTTTAGGCAAATAAATGCACTAAAATTATAGTGAGTGCAACTTGAACTCAATGCAAGAAGCAAGAGAAATTACATTCTCGACAACAATATTTTGTGTGAATTGGAGGAAGAGAACAATATAGAAATTCCTTGTTGAAAATTAATGTAGTCAGACAGTGTTCACCAGGGCTTGCTAAGGTGGTATGGACAGTAATCAGTAAATGGCAAGAGATCAGTAAAATTTGTATAATTTAAGGTTGATGGCAGGAAGACACCAAGGAAATGGAAAAGGCAATGAAAAGGTAGGGGGATGGACACCCAGGAAGCAGTGATGTACAGTTGTAGATAAAAGAGAATTCGGCAGGGAGGGAGGGAGGGTAGGGTTGTAGGTGGAGACTTGGCATCGTCAAGTCAGGGTGGCAATGAAAAATTAGTCAATTTTTGTGGTTATTTAGGTGAATTGAGTTTAGTTAATATAAGGTGCACCTGCCTTTTATTTTAATTATAAAAATCATTTTTTGGTGCTTTAAGAAAATTGCAGACAACCTCTATGCAACCCTGACAAGTCTCCAACTACCCCTACAATCCCATTCACCACCTTCCTCCTAGCCAAATTCTTTTTGTCCACAACTGTACAACAAGGCCATATGTACAGCTTCATTTAGTAACAGACTTTTACTGCAGTGACAGTAAATGTGCTTGCTCATGGCTCCCAGCCACTTAAAAAGAGAGCACGGTATACTACTAAAATAGCTACAGTATATATGTGTGTGTGTGTGTATGTATGTATGTATGTATGTATTTTACAAGGTTGTACAAAAACAGTATTCAATTTTTTTATTACTTTATTTCAATTATGTGGAATCAGTGGCCCCTTGAAAAGGCTAAGCAGGATCTTACAGCTGTGGTTTGTCATCCTTTTCATGGACTCCCAGTGTTGAATGTTAGTCATTCTGAAGAAAAAAATAAACGTGTAAATTAAATAACCCATCACAAGTGAATGAAATGCACAAAACAAAGAAATAAACAAACATTCAGACTCATTAAATCAGCTGTATTTACCAACATCGTGGTTTTCTGGATAAATTGATCATCATTACTGGCAAAGTTTAGCAAAATAGTTTATATGTGGAAAACTTACACTTGGTTGTCTTTGATCTGGACTTCCTGGCCGATTCTCTGCGTCTATAAAAAAATAAACGAGTCATTAAAAAATAATCAGTAAATTAACACACGCACACTTGGAGCAAACAATCAGACTCATTAAATCAGCTGTAATTACCAACATGGATTCTCTGGAAGAATTTATCATCATATTATATATAAAACAGCGTAACAAGTGTGGAGTTTAGATAAAAGATACTTACACAAATGGGACATGTGATTCCTTACTGTCCTTTGCTCTTGAAGTACTCATTGACAACATCATGGGCTTGGGTCTCCTTGCCATAATCCTGAAAAAATATATTAAATAAATAAATAAATAGATAAACAAATAAATAATAATAATAATAATAATAACACTTACAATGGGGTATTAAATCAGTAATCCTCACCCCCACCATTACAACCCCTTTCTCACTATACTGCACGGTGGCACCCCACCTCGCGCAGTCCACCACTACAACAAAATTCACCCCATAAGAGCCCGCACCGATAGATATAAGAACAGCACCATCCCATCTGTTGTTAAAATAATAAACTCCTGATTTATGTACTGTACACCCCTGTAAATGTATTGAACGCATATCATTATGTCCAATTCAAATGTAAGTTTGTATATTTTCAGCCACCGGCTGCAATTCTATTAATAAACCGTTAATTATTATTAAACCTCACCACAATACAGTACTATTTCATGTGTTCAACTATGGTATATTCCCCTTCCAAAACAGACCCAACACTGTTGCAACTTCAAAAAACCCAACATTAGCAGCACATCCCTCCCCAATATTTGCACGACAAGCTCTGGTCATTCATCCGCACAACACAGGGGCAGATCCAGGGGGGGGGGGAGAGGTTGGTTTCAGGACCCCCCTCCTTTTCAGAAGGAAATTTAATTACTTTTTCTTTAATGCAGTATTGTAAACAGGCATTTTTGTACAGTAAAAAGCTTTTACTATTGACCACAGGATCTCTCCTAATACTAAGTGTACATGCCTTCAAAATGCCCATGACACTAGTTAGATTAAAAAAAAGGGGGAGGGAGGAGTTACAGCGCCTCCCCAAAGCCGCCAGCTGGGTGGGCTCGCCATGTTCCCCCCACCCACACCTTCTGGGACCCCATTTTAATATTCCTGGATCCGCCCCTAAACACACCATAGTTTGCTGGACATCCAACCCTTCACTCCTAATATAGAATACCCTGTGTCTCATCCTCCCAAATGACTGGTCTTCATCTCATCCTCTGACCATCCATTCTACATTACAGTACATACTTTATAACCCTAGTAATGTACAGAAACAATGATAAAGCTGCAATCACGTGTTTTCCAAAGGGAAAAATTAAATAAAAATTCAAGATAATGAATATATAAAAAAGGATACATGATAAATAACTGTACTGCAACTCTATCTACCTCTGTTCCTCAAGGACACATCAATATAATATGAAATATGAATGGATGTACAAAGTGAGTACAAGAACAAAGTTTGTATTGAAATATTAAAAAAAAAAACTAAGAGCAAAAACCCATTTTTACAAGAGCTGAACACGACATCCTTAAAATAACAATTGTATGAAGAGTTTGAATTAGTGGCCAAGGAATGACAACAGGACAGTGGTTTCACTGAAGTCTAAACTGGAATGGAACTGTGAGAACAAATGTAGAACATTACAGAGAAGAATGTTACCAGAAGCCATAACAAAGATTCCAGGTAAAGCAAAAGTACTAGATGAGGGAATGAAAATATGACATGGTTGTACTTGAGTTAACACCAAAGAAGTATCAATTTAACCTACATTTGGGGAGAAACTCAATTGAAATATATAAAATAATTACACACCAGATACAATGCATCCAGCAATGCACTATCAAGATTAAACTAAATCAAGAAAATATATCTTGCATTCAATTATATTGCTAATGCAGGGATGTGATTTGGGGATGATTAAGCTGGGGGTCTGGGGAAACACCTACCCACGAAGATTTTACCATATTTAACTTACTTTCTCACATTCATACTCATTTTGTGAGCGCCTAATACTGTAATTAAAATACACAATACCAAAAATCAAACCTGTATGTTTATTGCAACAATATTTTTCATGCATACAGTCATAATAATTCCTTTACAAATTTTAGTTGTTCCTACAGGATAAACTTGAATTTGTTTAATATTTTTTATTGTACACCATTATTGGGAGAGGTAAGGTTTTTTGCACTGTATTGTGTGAGAATTCAAAATTTAATACTTGCCAAAAGGATTATGGCGCTAATGTACCATCAACTGGGGTTTCAATAGCATATGTAGTACAAAAATAAGTTTGTTCCATGATATATACAATCAAAATATTCAGTTGTCTTTCCCATGTAATATTAACTCATTTGGTTGTTTTCTTCTTAGTTTTAATTGCATCAGCTAGTTTTTTCAAGGAGAATAAACACTTCTGTTTTTGTTCCTGGAAGGCCTCTCTGCTCTTCCTTGATTTTTGAGTCATTTCCTCACACTGTTTTCTTTGATTCAAACAGTTTCTTTAATAACATTTGAGATATCTTCATTGAGGCTACAGACATCAGGTGATCATCAGTAACGTTTCCACAGCAACAGCACTGCCATAAGTACAATATATGTTTGCACAAACATGTATCTAACTGTAAAATTATCCAAACCTCCATTAGCAATGAGTGCATCATGTGATATTCAACCACTCAAAAATCACTTCACTCAATTTTCCAATTTCCACTCAGACAAGCCTGATCATGTGATTGAAATCCAAATGAACTGTGTGGCACAGTACTTCCAGTCAAAAAATATTAAATTCTTGAGATTGAATCCATAAAAATCTCTTAGAAATATCAAAATGTTTTCAATTTCTAAAATAAATAAAACCATGGTACAAATACTTTCCAAATTAATGAAATGAAAAATAACACTCACGACCACCAGACAAGTGGTAGAGTATCACCACCATCACTTTCTCCTATGTCTCTCCTTTTTGCCTGTTTCCTCTTTATGGAGTTGGTAGCAAACACTTCATGATTTGTCCACAACACACATGTACCACATAATCTACACTACAAAACATCTTCAGAACTGTCCATATTACACACCATAATGTACCACAAACAATACCTCATGAACTACTCTGTACTTCTTGACTTCCCTTGAATCTAGCTGGCTCCAGACGATTTTTGCTCCTTCCGTCAGATGTTTATAATAAAAAAATTCATCTCAATATTATCAAACCTTACCATAGCATAAAGTTAAGCATATGATGAGAGAAAATCACTAAATGGACAAGGCTAATTCATACAATTACCGAAGGCGAGCGTAGGTATTGCCAGTGATAAACCACGAATGTGTCCTGACTTCCCCTTCACTAAAACAGGACTAGTACGGTTGCGGTAGTACCGAGTCCAGACGGGTCGTCACGAGATACAAGAACCGTTCGTGTATCATGTGCCGTCCCTTAAATGGGTTGCAGGTAATCTCCAGCTATGAATGGTTTTATTTTGTAATAATTCAGATTACTGTTAAAAATTATGATGAACCTAAAAATGCCAAGAATACTTGTACCCATATTTTCATAAATAAAACTCAATCCGAAGGCTTAGGCCAAAATACCAAAATCTTGGGGAAATACCAAGCACTGGAGTCATATGACTTGACCTAATCACATTGAGAAAATGAGACACAGATGGCAGCTCCTACAAGCAAAGAAGGAAAACGTAGCGATCGAGGTGTTTTTTAAATTGTTAATCGGATTGTTTTGAATAATTGAAGGTGGAAGCTTATTCCACTCTCTAACAATGCCATTGTGAAAATATAGTTTGTCGAGTCTAATTGTACCTGTCGGCATCTTAGCTTCCTCCCATTACTTCTCCTACGAGTTATCTTCAGTACTGTATAAATTGTTTGTTTTGGTCAATGTTGGTGAACCCTTTGAATATTTTAAAACGTTCGATAAATCTACCCCAGAGTCGACGCTTCTTTAAAGAAAACAAGTCTAATTCCTACAACCTCTCTTCACAGGGTTTGTTGCTCTACACTGCATGGCTTCTAATTTCACAATATCAACAGATCTACACGATTCACATAAGTCGCCTAAAATGATGGGGGAAAAAATGGAAAAACAGAAATCACATCCCTGTTAAGCAGCCTGTAGAAACAAGAGAACAATTTTCAGCAAGAAAAGTGTTTTATAGTCCAGGAGTGAGAGTTAAACATTTTGGCCCATAGCACAAACAACAGAATCATTTCAAGCTATGATGAATTGTGGAATTATGGTATAACTTACTTCTAAAGCACAAGTGATAAGGGATTACTTATTTGAGCAGCCTTTACATCATAACCCAAAATCACTTATACTGTAGAAAATTTTATAAGATTTACATTTTACATTATTGCTAGAAATCCTGTATGACCCCACCAACAGAGCTGTCAACTGTATGTGCTGTGACCATTTTTCTAGGCCTCTTTTGAGATTTGGCTCCTTGACTAAGATCCTAAGAAAAGATATAATTTTTACAACTGGAAATGTAGCCATATATCCGAAAAAAAAATAACCAGTACTTACAGTGACAACAACACATGAGCAGCCAACGACCTTGCGAGCCTTTCCTTCGCGATCAATCTTGCACAGGCCAGCCCATTCTCCCAACATCTTGTTTGAGTCAACTTTCAGGAGTTTGATCTGGTGCTCCTGACAAAGGGCCTCGACCAGCTTGGAGTAGCCAGGCTCATCGCAGTTGTTTGCCAACAGGCACAGGAGAGCCTGACGTCTAATAAAGAGAAGACATTATTAATCCTGCTAATCTTCAGGTGTTCAGCTACAGCATCTAACTACTTCCATATTTTTCTCTTGTATCTTCCCTTTATTGCTCAACCTCAATTGATCATTAGGAAAGAGGATCTGTGGGAGCATTCTTGGGACGATCATTTATCTCCTTCCCTTGCACAGTCTACACCAACTGAGAGTAACTTGAATCAACAGTGCGACTCAGAGCCACCCTATGGCAAGACGCGTTTTGTGCAGGAAGTGAATCTTACGTGAACTAATCACATTAATTATAACTAATAAAATTAACCAAGATACAGCACTCTATTAATTGCAAATTGAGTAGTAAACCAGAGATAATCAGGAACGTAGAGAAATATTAAAATCATACTCATTTTTTAAACTGAAAATAATCAACTCCTGAACATTTATTATGCAAATAACCAAGAATCTACTTTAATTGTAATGGTTATACAGTAGTTTAAAAAATAATGGCAGAATACACTTGAACTTGAATAATTGTTCCTGCCATCAGCCAGTACAGTACTGGACCTAATTAGGGTAAACTCACTACTGTACTGTACTACTATTATACTGTACCATTTAATCTCTTAAAAAGACCACACACAATCAAATTCTATATTGTACAGTTTCCTCCCCCTTACTACCTAACAGAGCAGAGAAGATCCTCAAGTCCTAGCACATATAAAGAGGAATTTCCAACACATGGTGAAAAATTAAGTTTTTGCCAGGTAACACTTTATAAAGGGCCATTTAATGACAAAATTCATGTGATATTATGAATATCAACCTTACTGACACCACTGAAGTACAGTTGGCTCCACATAAATGTACCACAGCCTGGGAGTGTGTGAGGGCACAGGTACGAGATGTGACAACTCAGCGCCGTAGTCATGGGCGTAAAACCGTAGATTAGCCTGTTTGCAGTTCCCATAGTTCAGTCCTAGTCATAGCTACTCAACAATGCTGCATAACACTTATTACATATTACAGGGTTCATTTATTTGTTTCCCTACTTTCTTGTTTGTATCGTATCACAAACAGAGTAATTTCACTACTTCACGCCCATACATTGTCCTGATTACGGTGTTGCATTACCACATCTTACCCAAGCCCTCACACACTCCCAGGCTGTGGTATATTCATGTGCAGGTAACTGTACCTCACCCTTCAACCAATGTATTATGAGGCTTGTTCAGTCATTAGCGTAAAAACCCCAAGTACCGGATCAGTGAGTAACAATGTCCAAATAACGACATGAATCTTGGAATTTTTAAATTTAAATTTGAAAAAATATCTTGCAGGGTCGCCGTTATGGAGTGACGCAGTGTGGTCCCACATCACAACACAGTCTCAATGTACTCAAGTCTACATGTGGGTATTACTCAGTGCAGGCCTGTTCTCTCATAACATAAATAACACACATTGTGATAACATTGCCTAAGCAAGTATGCTCGGTGAAAGCCCCTAAGAGCAGAGTGCCTTATCATAAAGGATAAACTTAAAGTGCTCGCCATGGTCGACAATAAATGCTCTGTTCCCGAGATGATGCAGAAATTTTAAACTGAATACTGTACTGTATATTGAAAGCATATCGTAAGTGTGATCCACTTCATCTCCACTGAAAGTGGGTCCCACACACACCTGCATAATCTTCACTATGTAACACACATCAAGAGCTCAGCTGTGGCCTTGAAATGGCTATATATGTTGCCACGGATTAATGTAATGAAACTGCAAAAGTTGAGGGAAAATCATTTCAGTATTCTAATGTGACTGAGAAATAAAGGAAATATCATATAAAATTATAAAACAAAAATAAAGAGCATTGGTATTCTGTGAGAGGTGAATGTGTGTATGGATGTGTCATGTTCTCCCTCATGTGACATGGCATAAACACCATAGCAGCCAAGCGTCTCTCAAGTTAGCGGCTGAATTCTCTACTCTTGGTGTCACCCATAACATGATTCAAGGACAGGAACATTTTTTTTGCATATAAAAGAATTTGTTTGCTATTGTACTGTATTTTAAGATGTGCTATATATTGTTTTAATTATTTTTTATAGCAATTTTTGCTCAGTTTTGATGTAAGATACAGAATAACGAAAACAATGTCCCCCAAATGTAAAAATACATAATACACATTTTAAAACACCTTTTTTTGTGGGAAACAATACTTCTAAGCAGTACAGTATCAAGTTTATTTAATCATATTAGAATATATTCTACTTACAGGAAACTGTATGTGGTTGGTGCTAAAGGTGATTAGTTACAAATTTCTGCTTATTTGGTTGTCGGTTAGCCACAATTTGAGATCAATTTACAGCAGCACCTTCATATGACATGTAAATAAAATTTATTATGAAAATGTATATTTAATAAATAAAAATCCACAAATACCCCAGAGCTTGATCACCAATGCTCTCAATAAATAGTTGCTCTTCAGCTTGGTTTTCATAGTGACTCTTCTGACAATGATAGGATAGACACTTTCTGGTCTTTTATGGTACTATTGTACCACCATTCAACAGTAAATGGTAGAATAAACAAAAATATTATTAAAAAAAAAGAAAAATACGGCATTGCCATTTACCAATCTTTTCACTACACATTGGACACAGCGAACAGCTGATACAACATCCCCTCCCCCGACAGATAATTGTGTGTGTTAATCCCGTGCATATATGAAATGTTTATTCCCATTATGCTTTAGACCTTATGATATTGTTTTCTTGCACATTCAGTACGAAACATTGTGTGCGCATGTATCAGTACAAAAAAAAAAAAAAGTGAATACACTGTATCTACCCAAAATTATTTGTTGAAAAATAACCTTACTGTACTACAGTGGTCCCTCAATTAACAAACAGTTAAATTAACGAAATTTCGGTTAACGAATTAGCTCCCATACGGATTTTCAGTTCCATTAATGAACAAAGCTTCGATTAACGACAGCTGATCGGCTAGTCCACCAATACAGTAATTGTTTCTATGTTTACATTAGTTTCAATTGGAGTAAATATCAAGAAAGTTGGTCTCTTGAATATTTTTGCATTTTTTTATATTAAAATTATTGGACATTCTGAAATTTAGTTAACAAATTGATAATATACAGTGCAGAAATTATCATGAAACATGAAAAGCAATGCACTCTAACGAATATGGCATGCCATCATCGACTGCCTCTACAATCAACTGTTTGATATGTAAACAAAGCTGCCGGGAATACAACATACACACCTCAAAGTAAGTTAAAATACAGTATTCTATTGTTTTTTATTTATTATTGTACAGTATACTGTACAGTACAGTACTGTATTTAGTTTATATTTAATGTTTTATTAATTCTATTACCAGTATACAGTACTTTGTACGAATACTTTTTCTGTGAGTTGGAACCAATTACCCAATATCCCATTGAAATAATATTCAGTTAACGAAATTTTTGGTTAACAACCGACTTTGTGGAACCAATTGTATAGCTCACAGGTCAACCTAGTAGGGAGAGGACTAGAGGGATGTGGCTAGTGATGAGTTCTAACTTCCCAACATAACACCAGAAATGTAAGCAGATACAATTAAAACAAGTTTTTAATTTTCATTAATTGCTAATATATAAGCACAGAATTGTTGTCACAAACTAGCCTACTCTGCACTACAATACACTGCTTAGTATCTGTGTTCAGCACAGGATTCTCTCATATACAGTGGGGTATGCTATAACGAATGGATTCTACTACGAATATTCCTATAACGAACGGTTTTACCTATAAAATTGAGAATGATATAACGAACGAAACTCCTACAACGAACATTTTTTTTTTACTAATTTATTGTTTTTTTATTACAAGTATTAATGATATTCGTTATTTCAGGGGTTTAGATGCATATTTATGCACTTTTTTTTACAATTTTTACAATTTTATATTATATTTTACAGTGTTAAGTGGTTGTATTTGGGGGCCTGGAACAGATTAATCCTATAATGAACGAATGCTATAACGAACAAGGTTCTAGAACCAATTAGATTCGTTATAGCATACCCACTGTACCTGTCAGCAACTCTAACATTTTCCGATGCTTAAAAAAAAAAAGTTTTCATTCATATACCAAAATGATGGATTTTTTCTTCTTACATTATTAGCAAATTTTCAGAAAACAATTTTATGTAAATCAAAGACTCCTGTACAGTACTACCTTTACATTCAGAGAACTGTGATAATAGTACAGTGACCCCTCGTTTAACGAACTGCCTTCCATAAGGATCTTCAATTTGGTTAACGAACAAAAATTCGGTTAACAAATTTCTTACGAACCGACCTCGACATATTTTCGCTTGCACTGACCGGGCAACCAGCTTTAGTATCAGTCTGCCAATACAATAATCGGTTCTAGGGCTTAAATTCCTTACTATTTTAGTAAATATGAAGAAGTTTATACTATTCAATAATTTTAAAAGTTTAATATTCAATTTTTTAGTCATTTTAACAATTATTGAACATAATTGAAGGTAAAGTGACTAGTTTAATGCGCGGCATCCAGCCTCTTAACACAGCAAACAGGCGTTAGTCTCTCTCTGTTTTCACTGGAGGTAACATCTTGCTTGAGACTCTTCAACTAAACGCTTTTTTTCTGTGTTTCCAAGCAAATTATTGGTCATTTTGAAATATATTTTACATATTGACAAAATATAATGCAGTGCAGTGTTGATTTAAAGAAAATAATCTTGAATTACACCGAGAGGTAAAATTTTATGGGTGAAATGGCACCATGGGGTGACTTCTCTTCCACCCCAATGCCTTCTCTTCTTCCTTCTCCTCCACCCCCCATTCTAAATCCCATCATCATCATCATCATCCAGGAGCCTTCTACATACACACCTCAAAGTAAGTGAACTTTTCTACCATTTTTGTTGAATTTAGGAAATTTTCGGTGAGCTGCAACCAATTACCCAAAAACCCATTGAAACAATGGTTTCGGTTAACGAACTTTTTGGTTTACGAACGACCTTCTGGAACGGATTGAGTTCGTTAACCGAGGGGTCACTGTACATTGGTCTCTCGGTTAACGAACACAATTCGTTCCAGAAGGTAGTTCGTTAACCGAATCCATTGTTTCAATGGGATATTGGGTAATTGGTTCCAGCTCACAGAAAAATACATACAAAGTAAAAAAAAATGCAGTAAAGTACACTTACTTTGAGGTGTGTATGTAGAAGGTTCCTGGTTGATGATGATGATGGGAATTAGAAGTGGGGGTGGAGGAGAAGGGAGAAGAGAAGGAAGTGGTATGGAGGAGAAATCACCTTTCTTTGGACCCATGCTTGATGCGTCATTTCCCCAATAAAATCTTAAGTTCACTAGGTGTAATTCAAGATTATTTTCTTTAAGTCAACACTGTACTGCGCCATACATTATCAATATGTTAACTAAAGCTCAGAATGACCAATAATTTCAATGAAAAATGCAAAAATATTCAAGACACCAACAAAATGGCTGCTCTCTCGACAGAAAACAAAGCCAGACTGAACCTTTAATGCATATAATATTATCAATATGTTAAATATATGTTAAAATGACTAATAATCTTAATATAAAACATCAAAAAATATTTAAGAGATTAACTTTCTTGATATTTACTCCACTGGAAATGAATTTAAACATAGAACAGATTACTGAATTGGCAGACTGGGACATCATCTGACCAGCTGATGCTCACAACAAAATGTGATTTCCAAAAGGATTTCGCTAATCAAATTTTTGTTCGTTAACCGAATTGAAGATTCTTATGGAAGGTAATTCGTTAACCGAGGGACCACTGTACTGTACACTGATTACACAACTTAATACACGATACAGTACTAGGCTACTAAACATTATGTAGTACTGTACTGCACAGTATTTACACTTTGACGGGCTGACGGCAAATCCAAAAAACTAATGTGAGTGTTCCGATAAAAATACCGTATATACTCGTCTATAACCCCCCCTCGTTTATAGGTCGACCCTGATTTTTTGACCAAGAAATTGTTAATTTATGATATTCCTCGTTTATAGTTCGACCCAAGTTTTTGAGGGTAATGGAACAACAAAACCTTCAGTAAAAACACTGAAACACCGAGTGCCGAAGGCAAATTGTTTACCATTTATTATTACGACACTTTACACTGAAACACGAGTAGTTTTAACAAAAATATTGTATATCTCCACTCAAGTATTTATTCAAGTCAACTAGGAGGAAATATTATTGTAATAACAGTTTTTTTAACTGAAAACCATTCGAAAAGTGATTACGGTAACATCTTTTGAACGAAAAAGCGAAAGTCATTGTTTTCGTCACGATTTTATCCCACTTTCCACCGTAATACGTACGTCATTTTAGCAAAAATATTACATTTCCGTGAATGTATTATATCAAGCACAATACGAATAGAATATCATTGTAGTATAACAGTATTTTAAAGGAAAACTATTAAAAAAACGAGTAACATCTCAAGAACACCGGAAGCTTAGGTAAAGCCTTTTGTTTTCGTCATGTATTTTATCCTATTTTACATTGAAATACATCACGTTTCAGCAAAACTACTATTTATTTCCGAGAATATATTCATTCAGGCACAGTTTAGGTAAAATATACATGTGATGTAACAGTTTTTTAACTGAAAACGATTCGAAAAACACGTGAACCGTCTAGCTGATACGCAATAGCTGGTGGTGCGTCATGCATCGTTGTAAACAATACGAGGTTGAAGTGGATTACCGGGTATTATATTAAGTGTGAAATATCGAAAAGGTTTTTATTACCGGTATTTTTTGTAGATCAATGAGTATTGTGATACCATATATGATATGATAAGTTAGCCTGTGCTAAGAACTTCAACATGGACTACTGAGAGCATGTTGTAAGGTAATTTAGCCTGTTGTAATTTGGTGAGCTTCATCTGCTGAAGGAACTGCACAACTTTTCATTACTAATTGGTACATATTTTACGTTTCCATTGTTTACTGGCAATAAATGGTAAATATTTTTCATGTCTGAAGCTAAAAGTTGCTCCTCGCCCTTCCCATCATGCACGGGGTCAACCTAACAAAACTATTACGCATGTAGAGGTCGACCCCCAATTTTTTGCCTAAAAATTTGGTCTTAAAAACTCAAACTACACACGAGTATATACGGTATTGTTTTTGACTTCCAAAAATCTATTTATTGCTTAATTGACATGGTTCAAGTCTCAAAATGCTTACCATTATCTTCCCATTCTCGCCACACAACTGTGGCGAATGTGAGGTGTTGCGATAACTGCTGTGGGCCTGCATCATCAGTGTGTTCCAAGGATATAAAAGTACAGATGCTACCTCCTCTTTCATGCAATTCACTCTTATTTTTGTATATTGGTGTTATGATTCAAATTTTTTTTTGTATAATAGTATTGTAAAACAATAATTTGTGAAGAATTACACATTTAAAAAATGAAATATGATAGAAAATAAGGCCAATAAAAAAAACAAATGCAAACATATAATGCAAATGTCATGAGCTGAGCACACCCTGCCCACCTTGAGTGTTTAAAGGCTACACATTATATAAATTATATTTCATGTTATTTTATTCAACACCCAATTTCTAAGTCTGTTGTCAGGCTCCATGATGATCCAGAAGCTGACACTTACATCAACAGGTCTGACCTCAGATACCATTCTGATAAAGATGGATGTTTACCATTACTTACTTGTCGAGAGCCTTGACTGCTTCATGAAGTCCACGAGCAAGACCATCAGCCATAAGGGCCTGTTTGAGCACTTCCTGGACAGCAGTGTTCAAGTCCATGGGGCCACCGACGGCCACGGGAACGCTAACGTCTCTGGAAAGAACATAATTCCACACATTCTAATTACTTAAACAAATTTGTTACACGACTCTAAACAAACAACAGGTGCACTACTTTATCGGACAATATATACAATATTAGTTTACAATCTCTCTGGGTGTCATAAATCAAAATTAACTAAGGTTTAACTAATTCAGGCTACAGTACAGGTGTTAACATTTGAGTTGTTACATTGTACTGTCCATCTTCCCAGATCAATGAAAAATAATAATGAGGAAAAAAATTATTAACTGATAAAAACAAAAAACTCACCCTTCCACATCAGACATGCTGAACTATTGGACGTCCTCCTGTAAAGATAAGACAAATTGTAAGCAAAAGTGAGCAATGATATTGTCTCGACCTCCTACACCTGACAGTACCGAACTTCACCAACATAATTTACAGTAATATCTCTGTAAGCCGGACTCCTTCAAACCCAAAACTTTCTGATAGCCGGAATTGAAGTTTTCTTGGAAAAATGTTTCCAAAGCCGGAATAGTCCAGAAAATTCCAGATTTGGGAAAGATCTTCCGAGGTGCACATTTTCCGGAAAATACCGAAAATTTTCCCAATACCCTGTACCAGGAAAATTCCAGGTTTGATAAATGATGTAATGGGCAATTTTATCAAATTCCCGGAAAATGTGCCCGATTTTCATCTCCCAAAGCTGGAAAAACTCCCCCACCCCCAGAATTTTTCGGGTACTGAGAGAATGTTCATGGAATTTTCTAGAAAATGTGCCCCTCGGAAAATCGTCCTTAAAGCCAGACTTTTCAGGAAAATTCCAGCTTTGGGAAAGATTTTCCAAGAATTTCAATTCCGAGTACGTATCGGAAAGTTCCAAATGAGAGGGATTCTGGCTAATGGAGATATTAATATTTTATTGCTATAAAAGTCAATAATTTTTCAGTACAATATTTGACTCTAATCCACAAATAAAATTATTAGACCCCATGTTAAACATTCTTATTGCAAAAGAACACAAAAAAGGGATAATATACAGTAACTGTAAACGGTAAACAGTATTCCACGAATCTTAGTTAATAAAATAATCTGGTTCTTATAGTATTGTAAGAAAACACAGGTAATACTGTTTTCTTTCTCAATTATTAACACCAGGTTCATTAGATACTGCATAAGGTAATAATTGGCTACTCTAGTGCACCTAAACCATCTATTTTTTACAAATAACATTTAAGATATTTTCCTTAACTCAAGAAAACATCACACAAGGTTGGGGAATTGTAAATTTTGTATCAGGAGGTCCCCGACTTACAAACATCCAACTTACGAACGCCCGCCGATACAAACGGTGTTGAACTTGAAATTTACATTACAGTACAGTACCTGTATTTTATTTACCTGTTGACTTATTTTTTTACTTTCATTTACTGGATTTTGACATTCTATTTCTTCTTTTGTCTTAAAAAAAACGAATTTTTACTGGTACTATCAGAAATTATTTTTTTGTGTATTTAGTACTGTAGATTATGAACATCGTTTCTTGTTGAAATGAGCCATTGTTGGGCATTTTTTTTATTCCTTGTATATATTGGGGAAATTGGGATAAAAACATTTTTTTCCGTATAAAATTATTTCTTCACCTACATAGCACAAACATTACAGTAGGGCCGGGATATATCAAGAATTTTTAATATCGCGAATACCAAAATCATTGTCATTTTCCAATATATAGCGATAAATTTATTTATTTTGCGAGGGAAATCGGGCAGGAAATATTTCAACTGTACCGCCATGGAAAACAAATGCGTTACTTGCTCACCAAAGGCACCACCGTGGCTGCTCACCCACACACTCACGCTCACCCGCTCAGTCTTTCTGAATGAGTGATGAGTAAGCAGCCGACTCTGCTGCAGATTACGACTTCTAAGGTGTGTGTAATGGGTTGCTAGTAATGTGAAAAGTGAAGTGAAGGGAATGGAAAAAATTTAATACTGTAACTAATATTTTTGGTTTGTTTATGTAGGTGTGGGATTGTCAAGTGAGGGTGGCAGTGCGGCGTCAGCTGCCAAGTCTGGTGTTCCCGAGTCAGGCGTTCCTTAATATTGAAACAGCCTGTTGTTCCTGAGTCTAGTGTTCATTGGTGCTTTAGTTAATAAGAAAATAAACTCGTCAAGTCATGTTTACTCACCTTTATTGACCTCAACAACCTAACCCTATTTCCCCATTGATTACATGTACGTACATAATTACAGTATATATCGCGGATAGTATATAGCGAACATCGTTGGGCCCAATCTCGCGATGTATCCTGATCATAATGTACTGCCATATGATCAGTCTCACCATATTTTACCCAGTAATTTCCCTCATCTTTTATACCCTGCCCACTACAAGTAATTTATGATCATAGTTAGATAATAAAAACTACACATTTAAAATTAAAGGAAAAAGTTGCATAATTTTTATTACTATCATCCAAACAACTCCTGTGGAAAATATGAACAAATTCTATAAACTCCTTCGGGCGCTTAAGTCTCCTCCACTGAAAGATGGCAAATGAAATTCAACACCAGCAAGTGCAGCGTACTTAATATTGGAAGAACAAATACTGACAATGTATACAGCCTTAATACTGACAATGTATACAGCCTTAACAACATCAACCTAGAGAAGTCGACTTGTCAAAGAGACCTAGGGGTACTTGTAAGCCCGGACCTACAGCCTAGAAAACAGTGCGTTAATGTCCGAAATAAGGCAAACAGAGTATTGGATTTTATATCTAGAAGTGTAAGTAATAAGAGTGCAGAGGTCTTATTGCAACTATATCTTGCGCTAGTCAGGCCGCACCTCGATTATGAGGTTCAGTTCTGGTGCCCTTATTATAGAATGGATATCAATTCACTAGAGTCGGTGCAGCGAAGAATGACGAAAATGATTCCGGGACTTAGAAACCTTCCATATCAGGATAGGTTAAAGAAACTTAACTTGCATTCCCTAGAAAGACGAAGAGTGCGGGGAGATATGATAGAAGTATTTAAGTGGGTGAAAGGAATCAATAAAGGGGATATAGATAAAGTTCTTATAATACCCGAGCAGGATAGGACTCGGAGCAACGGATTTAAGTTGGATAAGTTTAGGTTTAGGAGGGAGATAGGAAGGAACTGGTTCACAAATAGGGTGGTGGACGAGTGGAACAAGCTTAGCAACTTTGTAGTAAGTACTGGAACTCTGGAAAGTTTCAAAAGGAGGCTAGATAGATTCATGGATGATAGAGAGTGGTAGTAACTCTCGACAGGAGCTGCCATGCACAGGCCAACCGGCCTATTGCAGACTCCTTATTTTCTTATGTTCTTATGTACCAGACTTTCTATGTACAGTATGTTAAGGTCACAGGTATACAAATACAGTATATAACAATACCTGTAGATAAAAGCGTAAAATAACATTGGATGAAATTCCATTAACGATACAAGCAGGAAATTGCAAATGACAAAACAAAACCAGCCAATCCTCAACCTTATTTGCTGTTCCTCAAGGTAAGGAAGATGTTCAGTACAGTATTTGTTAGGCTGTGGATATTTGTCCAGTTGTCAGTTAGGTATCACTTTAGTTTCAGTCATCTGGGTAATCTTTGGAATTTAGGTTAAGTTAGATATAGTTCCTGGGGTTAGGTTATATTAGGTTACATCGTTAGGTTTGGATATATATAAATACAGGGATGACCGAAACTAAAATGTTACTGTCAGTTAGGAAGATTTTATTTGACATACCAGGAGTTGAAAGAAATGGACAGAACTTGGTGGAAACATTATTTACAATCTATTAAAAATATAAATGGGAACGAGAAAGTAAATGTGTGGGCAGAGTTGGAAATGGACCAAGTTGGAGGTACACCAAGCAAAGAGCCAGCACCAAGAGTTGTTTGATGATGTTCAATTCCTCCACAGGAAGACTGTGATCACAGACAACTCTACTTGTACCACAGAAAACATGGTGAACGTTGTACATTTCTCTATGAAACCTCTAATTAAAGTTACCTAAATTACAGTTCCAAAAGTGAGCGAGAGTTACTATCGGGGACAGAAATCCTTTCCTTTTACATAGTGGATATTTTGCCATGGCCGGCTAAGTTCCTACCAATGCTATTTTACTATGAAAGCACTTTAATTGGCCAAGTACTTTTGTTTTAGTATGACGGGGGATCCACCCCCTGCCCAGTGGTTTACAGTGAATTCGCTCCTCATGAGTTCGGCCCACCTCCATGAGCCGAACTTGCCAATTTACAAATAGGCCATTATCAGTAAAGAACGAAAGATATAAATAACATTGTAAAATTAAAATTGTTTTATTTGCACATTAATACAATATCCTGGTTAAAAAGGTAGTAAAACTTGCAAAGTCTATTGCAATATTACAGTAAATGTTGTGGTATTCATATATTAGCTAGTCATAACAAAACTAAAAAACAAATACTGTAGTAGGACCTTATACCCGTATATAGTCACCATGCACCCTGGTAGGGCCATATACACGGGAGCATGCTCTCAAAAGTTGCATGGCACCTTTGTGTCCCCTTCCTAAGTGTTCCCAATATTTCTGTAGTTGACACTGCAGTTTCCTATAAGTTTTCTTCTAATTTGCTTAATTTTTTTCAGCAATCAAGGTGACCTGAAGTGACAAATTTAGATTCCTCAAAAAGGTTAATAAGCAAGTACAGTATAGGGTAAGGTCAGGTTTACCACGGGTGTGGACTAGTTGGTGCCAACCCTCAACATCCTTGTTAGTGCACACATTTTCCTTATACTGTACAGTGATATCCCCATTAGTCAGACAATTGGTGCAGAGCACTTCCGAGAATGAGAGATTTCCGGGTAACGAGAAGACTCTCTCAAAGCCGGAAATAAATCCCTCATCCCCGGAATTTTCAGAGTGATGGAAAAATGTTCTCGGAAGTTCCAGAACTTGCCCATTACATTATCTCTCGAACCCTCATCCACAAAATTTTCCAGTAAACGGGAAAAAAAATTATCGGAATTTCCAGAAAATGCGCCTGATCTTCATCTCTCAAACCCGGGAAAAATCACCCATCCCCAGAATTTTCCGGGTATTGGGAAAATTTGCCCCTCAGAAAATTTTGTGAATTAAGTACCATGCTGTATTTGAAAGTGGATTTTAAGTGAAGAAAGGGTGATTGTCTGTTGTGACAAGTTATATTTTTGTTATTCTTGTTTATAAAATTTTAGAAAAATGTTAATTTCACATCAGTGTAATTTTTATTTTGTGTCGATCAGTGTGAAGAGGATAAAAGTAAAGTAAAAGTAAATGCATTGATATTTACAGATGATGAGTGGGCAGTGAACGTCAGCCATGTTAAGAGTGTTGGGGAGTGTTAACTTCTGAGTGTCACCATAAAGTACCAAGGTTATGTAGTTCAATGTTTTACAGCTATTTGGGACAATACCACTTATTTGAGTTATTTGTTGTGCGAATTCAATAGAAAGAGTTCTAGTTCTTATTTGATGTCAACTTTTTTTTACTATTGAATTACCGATATAACACAAGTTGTGTATTTTATATATTTTGGTGAATTTTCCATCTTGTATTGGTATTTCTCTCGCTGTTATTAATATGTTTTCGTAATGTTTAGACAATTCTTAGACCTTTTTCTTCTGTGATATTTCCGCCGAAAATTAAGGATAACCGAGATATTAATTTTTCAATATTATTAGATTTGGTCAGTCACAAGTGTCGCCATTTGTTGTTTACGTCTCACAGAGAAGGTCTGACCGCCCATCACGTAGTGCTCCTTACCTCCGTGTTGACTTCTTAAGCATCTACAGCGCATGTGCGTGAGAGGGGGGTGATTTCTTATTGGCTACAGCGATAGAAGACTTGTAATTGGCTTATAATCGGGCAAGAGTTTTTTGTCTTAGCCAATGAAAAATGCGTGGGTGCGTGGGGAGCAGTGGTTTGATTTTTCAGTACCAGAATAACCAGATATGGCTGAACAGGTGGAAAGAGCTGTGCCAACATTGTGATGAGAGATTATTTTACATCAATTGCAGATATTCATCAGAAAAATAGATAGGTTAGGTTTGGTTTGTTTGTTGTTTGTTTTTTATTTATGTGATTTACTTGATAAAAAAAATATATTGTGATTTCCTGCAGATATTCATCTCAAATTCGTTCAAAACTCATCAAGTACCATAGGAAAAACATATTTCTAATATCAAAAGAAAGACTGGTGCCAGATGTAAACAAATCAAGGCGACACTTGACTGAGGAAACCTAATAATATTGAAAAATTAATATCTCGGTTACCCTTACTTTCCAGAGGAAATATCATAGAAGAAAAGTCTTAATTGTCTAAACATTACGAAATACATTAAAACAGCGAGAGAAAGGCCAGTGCAAGACTATAAATTGACCGGTATGTTTATAGCTACACAACGATCGACTCAAGAAATACAATCAAATGCCGCCAGATTCACGGTCAAATATAGTTCTCACGTTGTTCGCCTGTAATGCACAATTAGCCACCTCCCTATTTGTGAACCAGTTCCTTCCTATCTCCCTCCTAAACCTAAAGAGCTTAGTATGTTTAACATGTCCTTAAAAACATGTGTAGTACCAGAATCCTGGAGGATAGCGAATGTAATACCGATTTTCAAGAAGGGGGATAGATCACTATCCTCTAACTGCCGCCCAATCAGTCTAACATCAATAGTAGGCAAATTACTGGAAGCAATCATTTCAAACTCTATTCGAAATCACCTGGAGAAGCACCGATTGATCAATGATTCCCAGCATGGCTTCACAAGCGGACGTTCTTGCCTAACTAATCTATTAACATTCTTTTCATCAGTTTTCGAATCATCGGTCGAGGGGCACAATTATGATGTGGTATATCTCGACTTTAGCAAAGCCTTCGACAGAGTCCCACGAAAGACTAATTAGAAAGGTAGAAGCTCATGGCATCAAAGGTGACATCCTTAAATGGATTAGGGCGTGGTTACAGGACAGGAAACAGCGAGTGAGCATTAATGGCACTAAGTCCCATTGGAGCAACGTCACAAGTGGAGTTCCCCAAGGCTCAGTACTTGGACCATTATTGTTTATGATATACATAAACGACATAGATATCGGCATAGACAGCAACATAAGTAAATTTGCTGATGACACTAAAATAGGACGTGTTATCAAATCTGACGAGGACTCGGCAAAACTACAGGAAGATCTAAACAAATTTTTCGAATGGTCTGAAAAATGGCAGATGAAATTCAACGTGGACAAATGTAAAGTACTCAGTATAGGAGATGTAAACAGGGAAACCAGATACCAGATGAACAACGATGCCATAGAGAAATCCGACTGCGAGAGAGGTTTAGGAGTAATGATAAGTAGGAACCTTAAGCCAAGTAAACATACAAAGGAGTGTTAGATACAAGACTAGCGAGGTCATCCTAAGACTGTATCTTGCGCTTGTGAGACCACACCTGAATTACGCAGTTCAGTTCTGGTCACCGTATTACAGAATGGATATAGAATCCTTGGAAAGAATTCAGAGGATAATGACAAGACTAATCCCAGGCATTAGGAACCTTGAGTATAGACAGGTTAAAGCATCTTAATTTGCACTCCCTTGAGAGCGTAGGCGAGGCGACCTGATAAGAGGTGTATAAGTGGAAGGCAGGGCTAAACAAAGGGACATTACAAAGGTACTCAAATTATCCAACCAGGGCGAACTTCGTAACAATGGTTTTAAATTAGACAAATTTAGATTTAGGCGTGAAATAGGTAAACACTGGTTTGGAAACAGAGTAGTGGATGAATGGAACAAGTTACCAAATATCATCATTAACTCGAATACGCTGAATTGCTTCAAACATAGGTTGGATGCTCATATGAGCAATAGGGGTTGGGTGTAAACGGGACTGCCCAGTATGGGCCAATAGGCCCGCTGCAGTTTCCTCCATTTTTGTTCTTATGTAAACTTATCCAAATTAAATCCGTTGCTACGAGTCCTATCCTGCTCAGATATTATAAGAACTTTATCTATATCCCCTTTACTGATTCCTTTCACCCACTTAAATACTTCTATCATATCTCCCCACACTCTTCGTCTTTCTAGGGAATGCAAGTTTAGTTTCTTTAATCTGTCTTGATAGGGAAGGTTTCTAAGTCCCGAAATCATTTTCATCATTCTTCGCTGCACCGACTCCAGTGAATCGATATCCATTCTATAATAAAGGCACCAGAACTGGACAGCATAATCGAGGTGCGGCCTGACTAGTGCAAGATATAGTTGCAATAAGAGCTGATGGAGCTGATTGCGAGTTTTGGGGAAAAAAACGAAGAAACTACAGCATTTTCTCGATCGCATGGTGTTCTTCCAACTTAAGTAAAGTGTGCTAAGAGCAAGACTGAATGTAAATATCGCAAAGACCGTATGTGGCGTTGTGTAAGAATCTCAGAATCCAAAGACAAACAAGAACCAGGACAATAAGGCTAAGAAATAGGTGATCATATGGTGAGTCGGTTAGGTTAGGTTTTGTTTTTCTAGTGTTTTTTGGTGTATTTTGCCATGATTTTTTTTTTCGGAAAAGTCCAACAGAAAAAAATCGATAAAAAAACTGACTAATTTCCGCCCGAAATGAAGGACATATTCGGTCCAAACACACACAAATACACTAGAAAAATATGTTATACTTTCTAACAGAGTGCGGGGAGATATGATAGAAGTATTTAAGTGGGTTAAAAGAATCAATAAATAAAGTTCTTATAATATCCGAGCAGGATAGGACTCGTAGCAACGGATTTAAGTTGGATAAATTTAGGTTTAGGAGGGAAGATAGGAAGGAACTGGTTCACAAATAGGGTGGTGGACGAGTGGAACAAGCTTAGCAACTTTGTAGTAAGTACTGGAACGCTGGAAAGTGTTTAAAGGAGGCTAGATAGATTCATGGATGATCGAGAGTGGTAGTAACTCTCGACAGGAGCTGCCATGCACAGGCCAACCGGCCTATTGCAGACTCCTTATTTTCTTATGTACCTTAAAAATACTGGACAAAAAGCCACCATCAATTTCTACAATAATTATGCAACTGTTATATTATACAGCTGGCAGCGTCAACATTACCCCCAGTCTAGCACCACTACCATATGATGAACCCTGAGATAATTATACTTTCAAATCGCCATATATTAAGCGGATGCATTTTTTCTTCGTTACCTCAATTGGTTAACACATAACTTACAAATTTAACCAAACCCCAAAAGTTTAATATGACAATACAAAATGCTTCCCCACCACTCATTAATTTTCTTATTTCTCTAATATCCTTTTAACAAAAACATTATTTAAACATCTCACAAGCATCTATGATAATTAATGCACCTTTTATAACTTATGAAACTTTAAAATACCCTACGATAAGACCGATGACCACAGATAAATAAGGTACTCACGATCGTCAACGTTCACAACAACACGCTTAACTCATGAGGGCCGAGGCGAGGGTGACGGAGGCCGAGGTAAACACCGGACCCGACAGGTGAGGTGTGAGGTGCGCACCACACACACCCACACGAGTTAGGTTGATGCATAATTATATATATACAGTATACATTTTTTTCAGTAAAATCGTCATAAAGTACTCGGTCATATTGGTTCATCATGTATAGAGACACTGCAATTACACAATGTAATATGTAACAGTATACAGTGCAGGCACATAATGCATACACGATCTAAAAAGTATATGTGCACATTGGGTCCGATGATTTCCTAAACGGAACCTAACCACCAGTAGTATGCACCACGCTCGGAAGTTTGTTGACAGGCAATTACTGCAGGGCGACGCCTGATACAGCGTTCACGACGATAATCATACATAATGCGATTAAGCATGAAAGCTCTTGCTAGTATTGCCCTGACTGTAAAGTCAAAGTAAACAAGGCGATTGCAAACCATAGGGGAATGAGATTCCTAGGGACGGAAATAGATGAAACTGGATCCTTGTGTAAGGGGGGGATATACTGTAGTACTGTAGTGGATTCCTTCCCTACAAACGCTGTTTGTCGCTGACGAGCGCCGCCTTACACGACTGAGGTCAACTATTAAGCCACGCCTCCCCCCCGCTATATAAGACCTGACTTCGTGGTGACCTACCTCTTTCTACCTACACCAACCAGCAAGCAACACCTCCTGCCTGGCGGCCCTCGCTCCTGCCGGCGACCATGGCGACCCACAAGCTGGTTGGTCCTCCTCTGAGCACCCTCACCAACCAGCTCTCTCTACTCAACGCTTGTAACCATGGTGCCTTCCCAGCACCAACCTGCATTGTACATCCAATACAACATGTATACAGAGAGCACATTGTGAGTTTCCTTTCTCCATCCCATCCTGAGTGTGAACCAACATCTCGTACCTCACAAATGGTGACCCCCGGAGATTCTCACTCACACAGGATGGAGGAGAAACATCTCACATAACCCCACAAATGGTGACCCCCGGAGATTCGCACTCACACAGGATGGAGGAGAAACCGGTCACTCTCCCAGTCTTCAAGCAACATGGAAGACTGGCTTTTCCACACAAAGACAGCTCTCATCGGCTCTACAGCTACTGTCTTTACACCGCAGGTTAGACACCCTAGAGCACCACTCCTTCTCTAAGCAGACACCAGCTCCTCTTCCTGCCCCAAGCACCACGTCCTACCGACCCCAGCAGGCGCATCTGAGGACTCTGTACCTGCCGAGAGGGAAGCACAGCATTCATCGCCCCCACACACCGTTTTTTTTCCCTCAGGCACTCCCTGCCACCACGACCATGATTATAACAACCACGACTATGATTATAACAACCACGACCATGATTATAACAACCACGACCATGATTATAACAACCACGACCATGATTATAACAACCACGACCATGATTATCTAATCTCTAATATACGATAGGAAATTATTTGTATAAGACCGATATAGCTACAGAAAAAATAAAATATTTACATGTTGTTGTGTATTCTTATTACTGTTTGACTGTTGTTTGCAGGAAATCGATTTATTAACAAGTGTTCATTGCAAGTGCACCGACGTTAAATACAGGCGCGAGCGCACTTCTCCAAATATTACCTCCATTACTGTTTTGTCGAACTATATAGCGAAGGGCTCACGATCACTTGTCTTTATCTATATACAGTCACACCATAAAACTACCGTCGCGCCTCTGTTATCCACATGTCTATTCACATCTACAACACATCCACACAACCACATACAGCCACACCTACCATCACAATACGTCAACCGCATCCATTAACCACGCCCATCAACCACACACACATCCACACATATCCACCACACCCACACCCAGCAACCATACACTTGATATTACAATTTATGCATATCCTTCCTGTCCATGATTTACAACAATAACTGTAGGTAAAAAGTTACAATATTATACTAATAACACTGTCATGTACTGACACTATGACTAGTTACCAAGATATAGAGCACGATGAACATAACATGATAATGATAGTGAAGCCTGGAAGGGTTCATATCATAACTTGTGTGTTCGTGGGTATGTTGCCCCATGAGAGTTACCGTTACCGTGGGCCTCCATGTGCCCAGGTGGGATGGTCAAAGTATTACACTAAGTGTGTCAAATGAGGAGTGACTGATCCACATGTAATTTAAGGTTTTTGAAATATGTAGTTAAATTAAACACGATTTTTCATATAGTTACGCGAATGATGGGGTGTGGAAGAAGCATCGTGGTCTGGCACACACACACAAGCGCTGTAAACGTTGTGTGGACTCACTGGGTGGTTTGGAAGTGTTTATTTCCATTCACACTTTCGTAACTACAACCTATGGTAATTTTTCTTCGTGTTCATATATATTGAAGATAATGCAGAGTATAAGATGCCATATACAATATTTATACATAATGTCATCTATACAGCAGTACTATGACTGTGTGTGTTCGTGCGTGTGTTGCCTCGTGATAGTTAGAGTGGGCCCCCATCCAGAAAGGACACTGTACTAACCTCCAACCGACCCAGGTGGGCTAAAGATTATGGTTTCCGAGAGTACATCCCATACAACATGTATACAGAGAGCACATGTGACTTTCCTTTCTCCATCCCATCCTGATTTGTGAACCATCTCGTACCCCACAGTACCACAGGGCAATGTATTGGGTCCGCTGTTGTTAGTTTGCTTCATAAATGACTTGCCTGATGCTGTGCATTCCTCCATACAAATGTTTGTGGATGACGCCAAGCAGACTGCGACGAGCTGAAGAAGGATCTCTGTGAGCTTCAAGAATGGTCAAAGAAATGGCCGTTAAGATTCAATGTCATGAAGAGGCTGCACCTGGGACGTACCAACGGGAAGAAGGTGTATCATATGTCCCAACGGGACGAAGAAACTGCATTAATTGAGACTGAATGTGAAAAGGACCTAGGTGTGTATGTTGACAATGAATTGAAGTTCTCGGGCCATTGCGAGAAGACGGTAAATCAAGCAACTTAATTATTAGGTTTCATAAGAAGGTTGCTCAGATATCTAGACGGGCAGAGGTCCGTCCCACGTAATGATCTTTAAGAGTGAAGTGCTTCCTCATCTGGAGTACGGTCTGGTCCCCGAGATATGCTAACGACTGTCAGTTGATTGAAAATGTCAAATGGAGGGCCACCAGACTGGTACCTGCACTACAGCACCTCAGCTACCCTATTGGAGCGCCTGAACTTGCCTAGCTTTTACTACAGACGGGTAAGGGGAGACCTAATTGAGGTGTATAAGCATCTCAAGGGGCACTACTCAGCCGAGGGCCCTTACCTGGAGCTGGCGGACGCTCTCCCCACAAGGGGTCACAGCTCAAAGTAGGTGAAGCCACAAGCCCAGAAAACTGTAAGGGGTAACTTTTACGTTGTACCATATGTCCCAACGGGATGAAAAAACTGCACTATTTGAGACTGTATGTTGACAATGAGCTGAAGTTTTTGGGCCATTGTGAGAAGAAGGTAAATCAGGCCAATAAATTATTAGGTCTTATAAGAAGGTCGTTCAGATATCTAGACAGTCCATCCCTTGTAACAATCTTCAAGAGTGAAGTGCTTCCCCATCTGGAGTACTGTCACCCCGTCTGGTCCCCGAGATATTGTGGGGTTTTGTGATGTTGTCTCGCACTCAGGATGGGTTGGAGAAAGGAAACTCTTTATGGTGGTTTTCTGTATATAAATATATTGAATGTACATTGCAGTTTGGTGCTGGGAAGTTGCTGCGTGGTTAGGTGCTTGTGGAGAGGTGTTGGATGAGGAGCTTGGAGAAGAGAGGTGTTGCATGTTGCAGGGCTGTAGGTAGAAGAAGGGAGTTCACGGCGAGGTTGAGAGCTTATATAGTGGAGGTAGGCGTGGCTTGATAGCCGACTCCGCTTTGTCACACCACGAGGCTTTGGCTGGGGAGCTTGACAAGGGATTGGCTGGTCAGCGACAAACAGCAGTTGTGGTTATAGAGGAAATATCCACTACATTACTCCCCCTGCCCTCCAAGCGGTGCAGGAGACTTGTTGTTGGCAGGGTTGTATCCCACATATGAGACATAATAGGCGGGGGTGTGGATCAGTCGGCCGCTACGGGAGACGACTCTGTCTAGAGACACGAGATCTGTGGGAGAAGGAGGGTTGTGGATAAGAGAAGGTTGTACTGGAGAGGAATATGGTGCTTCTCTCGCGGCAGGTGCAGGGGTGCCGGGTGGGGTATCTGGATCATTAGGGCCGGATGCAGGACCCTCATCAGGGGCAGGGTCCACGTGAGGAGCAGTAGGTACCTGAGGATGAGAAGAGGGTACCCAGAAATGTTGTGGGCGAGGTGGTGCTGTAAACGGCAATGGTGGGCAGACTGGCAGAGGAGGTGCGGGATGAATGTGTTCAGGGCGGTGGGAAGGCTGGCATGGGGCAGTAGCCTTGAATGCAGAAACTGCCTGTCGTAGTGTTTGTAGTAGGTCGTGACGGGCAGCAGGAGTGAAGTGATCAAGGTCAGAAGTAAGGCGTGTGATGTGTTGCTTGATAGTGTAGGAGGTTATGGCGCCTACCAGTCTACGTCGATTTCGCTTCGTCGTGTGGTTGCAGGGAGCCTCACTGCGTCTAGCGTTAGCACCAAAACGTTGATGGTACCAACAGGGGGTAGATACACTGTGCTGGGGGCTGGGGGCAGCGTCTGAGGCAGGACGGGTGTGTTGGGGTCGGTAGGACATAGTGCGTGGGGCAGGAACAGGAGCAGCTGCAGGCTTGGAGGAGCAGAGCTGCTCTAGGGTGTCCAATCTGCTGTATAGGGACAATAGCAGGTCCCTCATGTCTTGTGAGGTGTTGGTTGCCTGGGGAGTGCTGATCTGGTTGACGAGACCGGAGGAAAGTGAAAGTGCGGCCACTGTGTTGTGCGCGGAAGCATGGCGCACAGCAGTGTATTCGTGGAATACTGTATCTGCCGTGGCTGCGTAGGTAGCCGAGGTAGTAGAATAGTCCAATACTGAGAGGACAAGACGAACTTATGCAGGGAG